ATTCAAATCATCACAGTGGTCAGATAGCTAGAAGGAAGTAGGGAGAGAGAGAGAGAGAGCAGGTCAAGTTGCAAGCTCAATTGTCAGGTCTGTTTTGACACCAACGACCAGAGATATTAATGGAAAGAAAGCTTCATGACCATGTGCAGTTCCGGTCTTTGAGAACAAGTTGTTTCTGTGATGTAAGCCATGCAAAGAGGTCAGTCAGGGCCTCCAAGATGTCTGTGATCTAATGATGTTTATATTGATGTAGATAAAGATTTGTTTCAATCAAACGTATTCCCTCAGACCTGAGCCTGAAGTTGGGAATCCTGAGTGCCACTTGGCTCACCCCCCACTCACTCGCCTCCCCTCCCCCACTTTTTCAGAAGCCGGGGGATGCCGGCTGCATCTTGCACTGTAGTGCAAACAGATCCCCGCAAAGAGAGAGGAAGATAAAATGAATTTAAATTCCAAAGGGGTTCCAGTGCCGGTTTCCTAGTCCCCGAGTCAGCAATGTGTTTGTGAAAATTCAGCCTTTTTGTCTCCCAGTAAAAAGGAGCTAAATCTACATCGGTGGCCCAGTCTCGGGTTGCTATTCTTTGCATTTTCTATTCGAGTGAATGAGAGTGAATGAAGTGGCCGGGACCCTTCATTTGATCTACTCAATTGCATAAAGTGACAGAATTCTAATATATTTGTTTAATGCTCCTCAATGGGCTTTCACGTTTTTGCTTGCAAATGAAGCATCGGTGGGCAAAGTTGCAGCCCCCTTTAACACCGGGACATATTTCATAACTCGGGCCATGGTTTGAAGTGATCTTGAGAGGAGTTTTAGACTCAAAAAGTGGAAAATAAAGAAACAGATGTGAAGTTATTGTAAATGACCAGAGTGGACTCTGGGGCTATTGTGCCCCCACGGCGGGCGGTCCAGGGGCTGGGCTTTTCACGCTGTAATTGAAACATATTAATTAGATAATTTGTTGTTAGTTTAAACGAAACAAATGCATCCCCTTTGAGGCTTCACAGCCGGTGGGTTGGGTTGTTTTGTGTTTTGTTTTTGTTTGGGTGTTTCTGTGCATAGGTAGATTTTTAGGAGAAAAAATTAATTGACATTCATAGTATGAATTGAAGAACGGATTCTGATCTTCTCCATTTCTTAGGTGAATACCCTTGACAAAGGGAGTTTGCATTTGGAAAAGTGTGAAGGGTTGCTCACCCTTCCACTCTGCACTCCAATCCCCCAACCTTGCATAAACCCATGGAAAATCTACAGTCTGCACTACTTGCCTTGGGTCCCTCCTCCTACCTGGCAAACTTGCCTTATTTAAGCTCGAGACCAGATTCATGCTTCCAAGATGCTCCGCGTTCTCCTTCTTTTGAAGGAATTCATCTCCCTGCTATGGTATTGAAGTTGCTTGGAGGATCACCCATAGCTCCCGTCTTCAGCTTTCAAGCTTCCGAATCAGGCAGTGGGAACAGGGAGAACAGTGTACAGAATTCACCTGTGGTGTAAGCCGTTCCACAGCTCACAGTTAAATGCAGAAGCACGTGAAAACCCCACATAGCAGAATACCTGTTTCCAAATCCAAAACCTAAATTCATAAAAGTCAGTACTGCCCAAATGCACAAAATAGCAGAGTCCAACTGTTCTCCGTTCTCAGAGTATGACACACTACTTTCCCTCTGCATGCTGGGGTCTCTTCCAGTTTTATTTTAAAGCTGGTGTATTGACTTTGGACTTGAGCCAGGTGAAAAGATTTAACATGACAAAGAGAGCCATTGAAGGTATCATAGTTATAAACTTCCTTATTTGTGAGGCACTTCAACTAAACAGGGCAGAAGTCCCGAGCTGGGGGGTGAAGGTGGGGGGCTTGTGTATTTGGGCTGCCTTTGGATTTCTGATCAAGGTCAAAATATCATCAATGGATTTTTTTTTTTTTTTACTTTCCTCATTCAACTTCGTCTGAGAAAAGATGCCTGCAATTGTAAAAGGAGGGCTCACAATGCCCAAGTTATTTCATTCTTTGCAATACACCATGACGAACCTACTAGCTGAAAAGAGCATTTTCAAATACTGAGTTGAAATCTCGCCTTTGCTCAGAATCAGAACTAGGATTGGCATTCTTCTTTCCCTCCATGTAGGGAATCTGTGTATGAACACACCGCTTATTTATTCTGTGCATACTCTAGGAGGAATATTTTACCTGACTCAGCTAACGATCTCAAAAATGTATGAGGCCTATGTTAGTCCTTTTCACTTCCTTCATCTGTTCAGATTCAATGTTGCTAAATTCAAGGAGATCAGACTAGTCCAGAGATGGCCCTGATTTTATTTTGCAGGAAACTGTGAGGCCATATTTGATTTTTTTCTAATGTAGACGACTTCTTGTAGAGAACAAACTTTCAAGAGTTTCTTAGCCCAGGATGGCTAAGTTTTCCAGGCTTTCTTTAGCTGATCTTGTTGATATAATTGTGAATTGGCCTTGATGAATGAGTTTAGTTGTTCCCTGTCTGATGACCTTTAGTAGCTTCATGCATTTTAATCAGTCCAATGATTCATTTATTTTCCACTTTTTTTTTTTTTGGCTGTGTGTGGGATCTTTCCTTTCAAAAAAAAAAAATGGTCACAACAGGATTAATTACCCTTTGCATTAATCCTAAATTGTTTTCCAGGTAGCCCTCTAAATATATGAGGATCACAGGTGCTAAGAACTCTGCTCATGCAGGCCTAATGATCATAGTTTCTATGTGAGGTTTTCACCACCAGGATCCCTTGTTTAATCATTTTACACAGTGAAGTGTTAATCACCATTTAAATTTCTCTTTGTTTTGTAACTTCATTACTTGAATACACACCTCACTCTGGAGATATAGGGACCCCTTCAACAAAGTGTCAATTAACTTAAGCCATAAATTCTTAGCAAATTTTAATTCTCTGCTGAAATCTGAAGAAAAACAACTTCTTTGAGTCAGGCATTTAAAGTAACTTCATTCACATCTTTAAAATAAATGCATCAAGTCTTATTTTCCCACATGAAGGAGTGAAAGAAATCTCTTCAGTTCAAAGGGAACGGGTTTCTTGACATGTGAAGTGAAACTTTAAGTAATTTCTATAGAACAAAATTTAAACAACTGCAATAATTTAAAAGAGCAAGGAAATGAATCCTCAGTCCAAGTAAGATGCATCAGCAAATATGCATTGAGCAAATGAATACCCATCTCTTTGTACTTTTTAAATCTTGGTACCATTTCTACCTGATGCCTACATAAGCCTTATACTTACAAAAGTGCTGTATATGTGATAAAATGTATATTTTAACCTGAACAAAACCACAGATAAAGTACTGTATTTTTTTTCCAATAGAAGCTTTTCTTTCCGCACTAATCCTGGGCACCTGATGCATTATAGAAATAGCCGGTGCCCTTTTTCCCTATGCACAAATAACTTCAGAGTCCATTTGAGTAAATTTTCCCCACAATCTGCAGGTGCACAGAGGGAAGTCTGACTGTTTTCCCAATGTGATACAAAAGGCAACCACAATCTACTGCAGAAGGCAATGCTGGGGAAGGGGAGGAAACACTACCTCCATCTTTTGCAAAGTTATTGTTTGTAGCAACTCTCCAAAGACACAGAAAACTAAAATTTGAATTTACATATTTTAATGAGAAAATATTATTTGTACTAGGTCATAATTTAATGTAGACACCTTTTTTAAAATTCTTTGTCTTAAAACAGGCATGCTGGGAACAGGAACACCAACATTTAAAATGCCATGCTAATTCTGTACAAGGAAGAAAAATGGAGGGTAAAATCGTACAGCTCAGATAGCACTACTTTTTTTTTTTTTAACTTAAGCAGGTCACACCAGAACAACAGTTCGTTTTCCAGCAAATTACCTAAGCCTCTAAAGAAATATAGCAAACAAAAGTGCATTTTACACAGTGTATAATCATTCCTATTCACAAGTATTTACACCTCTTCGCAGCCCTTCAGCTTCTTGGAAAAGTTCTGGCAGCCGACAGTAAGGCCGTCCGTGGGAGAACCATCCGGTGACAACCCCCTTCCGGTTCCCAGTCAGCTTGTCTGAGTTCGTCCGGGGTTGCCCTTGATGTTTCCTGATTTGGGGGCTTATTTCATTTTTCTGCTTTTTCTTTCTTTTAGTTTTGTCGACAATAAAATAAATAGCTAAAAAGGTCTCTAAGTAGTCGGAAAGTTAACGTCCCAATTAACTTTCCTCTCCCCTCCCCCCTCCCCATCCCCAAACCTGGCCAGAAAGGAAGGGTAAACATTCACATTACAACAGGTACTTGTAAAGTGGGCTTTGCCCGCTCCGCGCCTGCCAGGTCGAAACCAAGTGCACTGTTGACATTTTACCGGGCGGCTTTGTAAACAACACAAGGTTCCTTTTACTTTTGCTCGCGCGCAGGACCAGCGTCCCCTTCTCCGCTTGGCAGCCTCTCCCCCTAACTCGCAGCGTTTGGAGCCTCCGGCAGGAAACAAAACCCAAAACAAAACAACAACCAAAAACCCCAAAAGCTCCGCAGAAGCCCTTGCCAGATGCGCGGAGGCGGGCGCGGTGGGAAGGTGAGTGGCTTCTTTTTGCAGCAGATTTTCCGAGACGCCAGGGGGATCCGGCCCTGCCGGGCTGCCGCGGCCCTCCGCCGGGGAGCAGTTCCAGGACCCGTTTCTGGGAGCCAGTTTTCTTGGGTTTGGGACCCGGGGTCGCAGAGTTCAGAGCTCCGCGAACTGCAGCGCAGGGAAGACGCGCTCGTCCGGACGCAGGCGAGCTGCGGAATTTGCCCCGCCTGTTCCTCGGGACCGGGTTTCGGGACCCCGGGGCGCGGGCGCGGCTCGGCCCGGGTGGACCCTGCCTTCCCCTATCTTGAGTAAGGGAAGGGAGGGGAAGCGAAAAGAGCTCCCGCGCGCCTCCTGGACTGTCTGCAACTTTTTGTGTCTCGTCTCCTGGATCCAGAACAAAGTTCTCCTGGAGGGAGCTAGGGTGCACTTGGCAAGGCGAAACGGACTAGTGAGGGTGGCGGCTCCCGGTCGGGGAGGGCAGGAGCGGGAGCCCCGAGAGGTGTGAGCAAGGCGGCGGGGAGGGGAAGGAGAGGGCGTCGGCTCCTGTGTGGTCAGTGCACGGCCACCGAGTGCAAGGTGTTGGCCGGGCTGGTGAGCGTTTCGCTGGGCGTAGCGGGGCTGCTTTGGCTGGTGGCTGTTTGCGAGGACGTGGGGCTGAGCGAGGGCGGCGAGTTCGACAGCAAGGTGGGGATGGGCGCGGGCAGCGCGGGCAGCGCGGGCACGGCGGCCGGCGTGGGCTTGATGGGCACCGGGATGGCGGGCAGCGTCTGGCCCGCCGCGTGGCACAGCGGCTTCAGCGGCACTCCGTAGGCGCTGTAGTCGCCGCTCGCCATGGAGATGGGGGTGGCCGAGTCAATCATGCCCGCGGAGCCGTACACGTGCGGCCAGCCGGTGCCCAGCGAGCTGCCCATGGTAGTCAACTGGTTGGGGAGCGGATAGGCAGCGGGCACCGGCTGCATGGCGGAGAAGGCCAAGCCGCCTGGCATCTTGTACTCCCGCGCGATGATGTTCTCGATGGCGAAGGGGTGCTTGAAGCCGGAGGGCTGCGCCACGCCGCCAAGGTTGTAGGCGGCGGCTGGCATCTGTGGCAGGTGCGTGCCGGAGGCGGCCAGCGCGCTGAGCCGCAGCTTGGCCTGCTGCTGCAGGTACTGCGCCGCGTCGGCCGGCTTACTGGGCGCCAGGTGGTCGGACTTGAGCACCTTGAAGCGCTTTCGGCGCCGCAGGAAGCTGCCGTTCTCGAACATGTCCCCGCAGCTGGGGTGCAGCGCCCAGAAGCTGCCCTTGCCCGGCTGGTCGGGCCGCCGCGGGATCTTGATGAAGCAGTCGTTGAAGGAGAGATTGTGGCGAAGGCTGTTCTGCCAGCGCTGCGTGTTCTCCCGGTAGTAGGGGAAGCGGTCCATGATGAACTTGTAGATCTCACTCAGCGGCAGCATCTTCTCGGGCGAGCTCTGGATGGCCATGGCGGTCAGCGAGATGTAGGAGTAGGGCGGCTTCTGGTCGCTGTACGTGTTGCGGCCCGGCCGAGGCATCTTCTCACTTGTCCTCTTCTGGCTTTGGGTCCGCGCCGGCAGGCGGAATGCTCGGATCTGGGAAGCGGGGAGGTCAGGGAGGGGTGGGGACGCACATGGACACCGCGAGGGTAGTCAGGCGGGACGGGGAGCGGTGAGGGAGGGGGTGGAGACAGACTTCGGGGCTGCGGGTAGGGGCTGCGCGCTTAATCAGCCGGCGCCCGCGCTCCTTGGCTAGCAACTTTGCGCGCTGACTGGCCCAGGGACAGGAGAGGGCTAGGCCGGCCAGCTGCGCGAAGATAGCAAGGGAAGTAAGTGGAGTCCCAGATATGGACCGGGCTGGGAGGCGGTGGGGACGCCACGGAGATCGGCTCACCTTAAAGTTGCTCCAAGTTGCGCGTCCGCATCCGGGATGGCGCGCTGCTTGTTACGTTCCTCCCGATGCGTGGCCCAGGAGCAGCGTCCGGGTTCCGTTGGACTCCTCGGCGCGAACCAGGGCTCTGGCGCTTAGCCTCGCAGCGCCCTGCGCCGCTGCCTCCGCGGCGCTTCTGGCTTTGCGTGCGGCCGGCAGCGAGCTCGGCTGCGGAGTCCAGGCGTGGACGTTGGCCGCAGAGACCCGGGGACTCGGGAGGGCGCTGCTGTGGGCTCCGTGGCTCCGCTGAGCTAGGTGGCTGCCTCCATGTCCTCCCTCGAACCATCTGATAGTTTTAAGCGGTGACAGGAGCAGAAAAGACCCCTGTAGCGGCGCTTCATTAATGTGCCACTTCTTAGCTATCATATGACAATCGCCTTGGGAGGAGGAGGAAAAGGAGGGGGGACTGGGGGCTGCAGAGGGAGGGGACTGAGCGGGAGGGAGAGCCCGGCCAGCTCTGGTTTCTTTCACACCTATTTACATGGACACCTTGGCCAATAGGAATCACTTCCAACTCCAGACTGGGCGATGGGGAAGAGCCTCGGCCAGTGGCGGGGAGCGAGACGCGCCGGCCGGTGGCCGGTGTGCGCCGGGTGCAGGTATGAGGAGGCGGTGGCCGCGGAGCGGGGAGCCGGGCGGCCGCTGGCGTCACAGACGGAGCTGCGGCGCTGAGGATGTTTGCCGTGGAAATGGCCGGGCTGGGGGTGTTCTGTCTCCTCTGCGTTATCTCGGGTTTGTATTGGTAGCTGACTCGAGGCACGGCTCTCCCCCGAAGCCGACCCTTGTCCTGCGCTTAGCACTCGCGGGGGTTGTTTGCGTGGATTATTAGAATGCCAACAAGCCCTTCCCCCTGCCCCGGTCCTCCAGGCGGTGGACGATTCATTGGCCCTGGCTGGCCGCTGCTTCAACCAGGTGTGTGGCTGATGAGGTGTAAGCTATCCTGACAAAATGTCATCGGACAGCCCCCTGTAAGAGCTCATTTTGAATCGACATGTATTGGCCAAATTAAAAAAAAAAAAAAAAGTTGTTAGATGGTCTACCTGGGCAAGGAGTCATGGTGTATGCTTGCTTTCCAAGTCGTCCGGGCTCCGGGGCCGTCGGCACAGACCGCGTGCAGACTAGGGAGGGCCTGAGTCCGCCTGACGCACGGTCAGCAGAGGAGCCGCGGGGACTCTGGCTCTCCCCAGGTCTTTTGAAACTTCAGCAGCCAGGCGTTTCCTGGGAATTTGCATTTTACTGTCGGAACACCCCCTCCCCCTTTTTTTTAAACAAGGGGAGAATCTATTTAGGGTTTAGAGAGCCCAGCAAAGGCTACCTGCGGTTCCCCCTCCGACAGCACTGCTGACCGAGGCTGGCAGAGAAGCAGGGAGTTTTCCTTGGTGGGGAGTGGGCAGGCGAGGGAGGGGGCGAGGTGCCTGGGGTCACGCCTCCTGGTGTGGGCTGCAGGCTCCTTTGCGCTGGGCTCCGCCTTGGGAGGATTAAATGAATCATTATTATTATCATTATCATCACCATCGTTGGCGTCATCATCATCAGATTGCTCTGAAATAAATAGGGAGTCCACACCGCCTGCATGCAGTAGATCCTCCGTTCCCACGCCTTTCTGCGCCTTCTCCAACCTTTCAGGTTTCAAAAAGAATTTCATTTCCTTGCAGTAATCACTCAATGCCTATGGTCGACACAGATTCACCTGCAAAGTCTGCAAATGTGAGAGCCCCCTTTATTCACCTTCCCCCAAAGAAGAGTGGGGGGTGGGGTGGGGTTAGGTTAGGGGAGCTGTTTGGGGTTAGCATAAAAAAGATCTTTTAGCGCGAGCACACACATGCACACAAAACTTCATTAACCAGTTTTCAGAGGTGGTCAATAACTCAGCAAAACGTAACTTAAACACGACGAATTTAGGAGATTAAACAATTTCATTAATATTGAAATGGCTCTCGTGTCTGGGTTGCCTCGCTTGAGATGCAAGCGCACGTTTTTCAATATTAACAGAAGTGCTTGAAGAAAAGGAATAATGTCACCGCCTTAATTCGCAAAAAATAAGCGGGAGGAGGGGCGGGGGGGGCATGGGGGTGGGGAAGGGGACACTAACCTGTCCCTGGGGGCACAGCTCCAGGAGGGCAGATAAAGGTATTGCCCTTCTTGGAAGATGAACTAGCTGGATGGGGGGGGGGGGGATCTTGGCCCAGCTTTGGGCAGAAGCGGCAGAATTCACCTAAGCTTCGTGCAATGCAGCTCCTAAAGAGGTGCGGCATTTGGCGTGATCGGTTCGGCTGCAGGATCAGCTGGGGAGCCAGCCTGTGGGGAAGTGTTGTTGTTTCTAGAACGAAACGGCTGTGGCCCAGGCTTTCCTGCTCCAGACCACAGCTGGCCTCCTTGGGCTCTTATGGGAGCAGCAGGAGCTCTCTTGGGCTGAAAAGGTACCAGCATCCAACCTGCCAAGAATTTTTAGGGTCCGCTCAGCAGATAGGTGCATCAGTTCACACTGATGTGTAGGGTGGTTGCATAGGGGATTCGAACCATAGGAGCAAAATCTTGCCATCCACCCAGTGACAGCTGGGGTGAGTCTCTTCTACCCCGTACGGATGCCTTTTGAAGGTGGGAATTGGGCGGGGGGGGGGGGGGGAGTGTTTTCTTCTTTCAACAACTGGCATTTTGTTGTCTTGCGAAAGGCCATTGTATGGCTGTTGAAATCATTGCTCAGAGTAAACAGAAGATTCAAGTCTCAGAGAAGAAACATTGGGAGTTAAAAAAAAAAAAAAGTTGAAATAAATCTTTGTCTATCTCCCCGGGAATGTTGTCAACTTCAGATATCCAACATGCGAGGATCCAAGTAGGAATCCATGTCTGAGTCATCTGAAAATAAGAGTAGGAATGAGAGTTGAGGCGCACTGCTCCTGCCCGGTGTGAATTAAGTTAACGGGACCTAACTACCAGTTTGCCATTGGGTGCCGATAAAAGTGGGGAGATGCCCATTTAAAATCTGCTTTGCTACAAAGTTATACCTTGGTTCCTGCTGGAGGTTTGCCCAGCCTGGGGTTGGGCGGGTGGATTTGCATACCGTCGACAGCATTTTAAGACTGGTATTATGAAGAGGTGGAGAAGGGAAGGAGCACTTTCCAGAAATCTTGAAAAGTGCATCAGAGTCTATTGTACACAATCCAAAGCAAACAGAAGCTTGGGATGGGGTGGGGGAGGCACGTCCGACCCGGAGGCTTACAGAGTTGTTGGGAAAACTGTATAAAATACACATAAGTCAATTATACCCATGTGCACACCAAATGGAAATCTCCTTCGCGCAACAGCTATTCATCGCCTCCCCAGAGCCCGCCACCGACCGCCTTTCGCTTGCCGAGTTCGTAATAGCCTCTTTTCCCACAAGCTGGACCACACACGGCTACGGATTTCGTAATAATTTATGCTAATTTCCCACCGTAAATCCACAATTCGCTCCAGTGGCACCCGGGCTGCTGGGGGAGTAAAAAGGAGACAGAGGGGTGACACACAATATTGATTTTGATTCCTTCTGTTGTCAAGCAGGTGTGTGCGTGTGTGTGTGCGCGTGAGTGTGCAGGAAGGGTGGGGCTGCGGGAGGGGGAGGGGGCTCCGGGTGGGGAAAGCGGTCCCCAGCCAGCCCCCGCCCGCCCCTCCATCCACACTCGAGAAAACAACTCTCCCTGGTTTGTTAATATTTACCAAACAGCGACGGGGGGTGGGGGTGGGGAGGGGAGGTGGAGAGAAAGTAGCCGGAGCTTCCGAGGGTTTCCTAGGCGCCAAAAACAATCCCTGCCAGCCCCACTTGGGAAAGTGAAGTCGCTGCCTGGAGCGCCTCGGCGACACCTTCCTGGGCCCCTTCCGCCCGCCTTCTCTCCCGCTCACCCCAGTCCTGCGCTCCTCTCCTCTGCACTTCCCCACCGAACTTCCCCGGAAGAGAAATGTGCCGGGAGTTGGGGGGCAGAGGGCTAAGGGCTGGCGCGCCGCCGACTTTCTGGGTTTGGGGCCTGGCGGGTCTCGTCTGCCCCGCCCCGGTTCTCTCGGGTGCCCCCCGCGTTCGCCCGAGCGCTCGGCTCCCTCTGGGAACGCGCGCTAATGCACCGCGCCGCTTTGTCCCATCCGTCATTCTTCCCCAAATCTGCACTTTGGTGGCGTGAAACGACTTAGCTTTCCTTTCAAAAAGATTTTGTTCCCGGGGTATTCAGCACTAAAACAAACTCCCTCAGCCTGTCAGCGGTCAATTAAAAAAAATTGCCGTCCAGAGTGTACCGAGGCTGTTTGTCCACGGAAGCAGTGCGCACCCCTCACCCCTCTACCCCCGCCAGCCCCGCTGCGCCGAACCGCCCGGCTTCACGTTCTGGATTCCTGGGCCTAGCGGGACCCTGCCCGACCCCGATCTCTTGGCCTGGGAGCGCTGGATATCCGAGGGACCTGCACCCGTCGGGGCACGTGTCGGGGGAAACCCGACCTCCATGGCTCCCCACGACCGCCCCGGGAACACTCTTCCTGGCCATTCGCACAGTGCCTGGCTGGAAACCAAGTTGCCCAGGGGGAGAGGCGGGGGCAGGGGCACGCGTTCCCCTCCGGTGCCAGCCGCAGGCCGGCGAGAAAAGACTCGGAGCCCACTCGCCCGCGCCCACGTCCCTGGAGCTGCACCGCTGCGGTCCCAGGGCCGCACTTTTACCTAGTGGCCCGAAGAAATGTCTGCAGGGGAAAGTCGGGGCCGTCCTTCCTCCGCTGGGACCTGGGCCACCTGGGGCTTGGACGAGGGCGGTTGAAAAGCAACTTATCCAGAGTGGTCGATTGCCTCATACGAGGTCTCCCCTTGCGGTCCCGTCTTGCCGGTATCTAAGAAAGGCGGGAGTCTACTTGCTGCTCTCCCGACTCCCATCTAAACGGGGGGAGGTGGGTGTGCTCGACTTCGGGGGTGTCCTCTCCTTAGTTCCCAGTAGTAGGTTCGGCCTCCAGCTGTGGCTGGGACCCCCTGCGGATGTCTGTTTTGCCTGGGGAAGGGGGTACCGGGAAGGCCCACACCCTGCGTGTTTTAGGAGTCCCGCTGGAGCAGCTGCTGAGATGTGGAGACCACGGAAGGCCCAGTTTCCCCTCCACCTCGGGCGCAAAACAAACAAGTAGCCGGAGATAGGTGCAGGTCCCGCTTGGACCCCATGGGCAAGAAGTGCCAAGCCTCAGCTCATAATGAGCTGGCCATTTCAATGCTTGTGAAAACAACTCTTTGCCTACTCAGCACAATGCCCTCTCTTTGGAATCGCTTTGCTAAATACCATTTGGTGTTTGCTTTGCTGGGGTTTGCTCTGAGACTTCAAGGCATTAAAACCTTAGTTTCCAAATCCAATCCCTCCTTTGCACAACAAACAACTGCATAGCTTTAGATTGGGCATTACCAAGCCCACAAATGCATTCATCTCAAAAGTATTCGCCGGAGGTTGGTGCAAGGATTTTTGAGGTTGTGATTGCTGTTGCTGAATCGTCTCTGTAAGTTTTGCTCTGTGCTGTGTAAGATAGAAGCAGCCATTCAACGCTATTATTATTATTATTGGAGGAAATATTGCTAAAGCCACCTTAGTATTGAAGGGATTAACTTGCTTTTCTCCCAGCCCCTAACTCTGGGGTTAAGACAGCAGTAGATCAACTGTATAATGTGTGCACTGTTCGCTCATTTGTACAAGCAGAACAAAGGTTGGACTAAGCCAAATTGCATTGCACTTGTGAACCGAGTCCCGATGTGAAGTATCTTTTACAGCGGGGGGAATGAGAACAATTTCGTGTATGTCTAAAAGGGAATAACAAAGCCACTTTCTCGAGCATCTCAAAGTGAAGTAGCGAGGCGTGACATTCCCAGGGTGAGGAGAGACAAAAGCAGGGTCAGGGGGATGAAAAAGAGAATCAAACAGCCACTTTCACATGTCTGCCCTCAACTGCTGCACCTCTCCATAATAGGAAACAAATGTTGTAAAAGGGGGGATTGCTCCCATTCATTCAAAATAGCAAATGATAGCTAAACAACATTGTCAAAACCGAATCAACTTCTGTGCAGTACCACCCAGAAAAAGGTATTGTGTTTTGTTTAATAGCGGGGTGGAGCAAAGGGTCCTTTTTTAAGTGGGGAGGGAGAGAGAGAGACGGGGGGGGGGGATCACCCTATACTTCTATCAATTTCCTTGCTCAAAATTGTTTGCTTGGATTTTTAAAACAGCGTTGCCAGCTGGGCACCCACCCTTAAGCTGTAATATTCTTTTTTTTGGGGGGGAGAAATTTTGGAAAAGCAGAAACAGAAAGATGATTTTAGTGTTATCCAGTGTTTGCAGGCTTCTAAGACATGGGGAAAATGGTTTTAACCTCCTTTGAATGTGTTATCCAGAAACAAATAAA